GTTCTTACTTCTGACTGCCAATTCTTGCATTGTATAAGTATTACTTCATCTTGTGTTTCTGTTATTAAATCTACTCCTCCATCTCCTGTTGGAACATATTTATTTTCTCTTTCACTGTAAAATCCTGACTGTGTTCTTTGTGTTGGTCCTATCTTGACCATAATATAGTATACATCTTCTTTCAACTGGTTTCCTATTTGTCTTGGTGTTAGTTTCTTTCCTAGCTCTTCTTGCCATTTTTTCATTTCCCTCTTTCCCCATTCTTTAGAGTCTTCGTCTTTTGCTTTTCATATTTTCTTGACTGTCTTCATTCCTTCGCTTGGTTGTTCTAGTTTTCTTGTTTGGCTTCTGGTAGTGACCATGTTGGATGTTCTTGTATTTTTGATGCTGTTGTCTCTCTTCTTTTATAAGTTTTTGTATTTTCTCTATCCACCATTCCCATAATTGGTTTTCATTTTTCATTGTATAATACTTTACTATTACTCCTTTGTTACAATGTCCTGGTTTATCCTTGCAATGTATAAAGCATTTCTTATTACAGTTCCATTCCAATATTCCTTTGTTGTCTTTATATACAACTCTTTTTTGTTTCCAATTGATAATTCGGTTTACTACTCCTGATGTATGTTTATACATTGTTGATTCTCTTTCTCCACATACATTACAAAAGTATTTGAATGTGCTTCTTTGGTATTCATTCCATAATTGTTTTTTCAATATTTTTCTTTCAACAATATGCCATTCTCTAAATATACTCATAGCTGCTATTAAATTATGTGATCTTTTCTTAATTCTTGTATATGCTGGGTATTCTTCTATTGTTTCTTCAATATAGGGTAGTATGTTTTCTGCCATTTCAACTAGTCTGAATATTGGATGCATTGCTGATCATTCAGGGATATTCTTTCAACTTCGTCTGTTAAATATTCACTTGTATCAAAAGTCTGGTCTCTTGTTGCTTTTCTTTCTAAATGTTCCGTTATAATTTCCTTTATCTGCCCTTGGACTTGTATTGCTTCTTCTGTATCAATGTGATTTGATTGTCGCACTATTTTTAATACTTGTTTTGTTCCTCCTATTGTATTAATTATTTTTTCTGCTGTTATTAAATCAATTTCGTATTTTTGTCCTAGATTATCTGAATATTCGGCTCTTTCAAATTTGATTACTGAATTCACTCTTTCCTCGTAGTATGTTATTTTTCCAACATAAATATCCTCGAATAAATCAAAATATTCTTGGTATAAGAATGTATGTTCGATTGTATCTTTTCCAATCCAATAATGTGTTCTCACGTTCCCTATTTGATCTGGTTCTGTCCAATAATATCGTTCTTTAAGTTTTTCCCACAGTATTTCTTCTTCTTGCTTTGATATTTCTGACCTGTTGGTTAATCTTCCTTCTTCAGTTCTATATATATGGCTTCTTGTAGCTATTTCGCAATTTTCTTTCGTAAAATAACTTTCTTGTACAATTGTAATCCAATATCCTGCCATTTAATTTAAGATTCTGTCGATGTCTTCAAATGTTTCAAGAAATTCTGGGAAATGTGCTTGTATAAGTTTATATCTTTTTTCGATGATAGTGGTCTTTCTTTTCGTTACTCCTCCCTTTTTTCTTTTCATTTTTTCTATAGGTACTTTCAATATTTTTCGAAAGTCTTCTTTTTACTCTTCTGTTAATTTAAATATTCTTCCTTTTCTGTGTGGTGATTCGACTCCTTCAATTTCTTTTCCTTTTCTTATAACTGTAAGCTGAAATCCTTGTTTCTTTTCTTCCTCCCTGAGTTTCTTGTATGCTTCAATAATCTTTTGGTTTTCTTGGAATTTCTCCTTCTTAATCCTTACTTTTTCTTGTTCTTCTTGAGGTTCGTTAGAATTCATTTGTTATTTTTTCTTAACCTCAAGCTAGTCTGGCGATTGGGTCTTTTATAATTACTCTTGTTAGTTGTGATTGATTAATCTTTCTTCTCCTACCTTCCAAAAGTTTCTTTCAGTTTTAATCGTTCTTTTTCTTTCTATTTTATTCTTTTCTTCTTCTATTGGTTCGTTGTGTTAATTTTTCCAAAAGATTCTTTCGTTTTTCCATTGGTTCGTTTTCATTTTTTCTATTTTATTCTCAAAATTTCTTTCTGTTAGTTTTATAAACCATTACTATCCGTTATACCCTCCCTCTCATTTTTCAAAAATGTTTCAAATTATTTCAAATATTTTCTTCTTTATCGCAATCTTCTTCTTATCCTTTGTGATTTATTTTATTTATAAAGAAGTCTTTCTTTACCTTCAAAAAATCGTTCCTAAATTGGAGATTCTAATCAACCATGTCCAATCCTCTGCTGTCTCTTCTGCTGGTACAATGGCTTCTCAGTCTGAATCTAATTCTCTTAGAAGTATTCATAATTTATTTGCTTCTTCTATTCAACCTGGTTTTTCTTACCTTCGTTTGGTTTCTCCTGATTATCAGAGGTCTGTCTCGAGCATATTAGGTGACCATCCATTTTTTTCTCAATTTATCCATCATATTACTTCCTACTAGTCTAAAACATTACCTGGTGAAGTCGGTGATCGTAATATCAATGCTCTTAAGAGACCATCTCATTCCGTTGTTTTTTCTCTTTTTCTTGATCTCGAAGGTCTTCATCTTTTCATTATAGAAGTTAATCGGAATGTTACTGTTCACAATAATTATTATTGTGTTCTATCATTAGATGATTTTATCAGTCATCTTTGTACTCATTCGTTAGTCGAGTCTATAAAATTTAAATAACTCTTTGTAACAAATTTATAAGCTTTTATTTGATATATTTATGAAAAATAAAGTAAATACATGTTATATCTATTTTATTTGTGTAAGTAATACTACTTGATTATATCGCTGGAGTGCTTTTACTACTGTCGCGATTCTCCTTTCGTCCTTTGGATTTTGTTTCTTTAATAATGAGTGTAATTGAGTTAGTCTTTCTATATTTAATCCGGCATTAATAAATGTTGTATACAATTGTTCTATTTTAGGGTTACCAGTTTTCTTCTGAGGTTTTTTCTCCTTGGGTTGTTCCTTCTTAACCTCTTGCTTCGTTCCTATCATGAGTCGATCATGTATGAAAAATATATCACCCATTGCTAGGATCGTTTACTTTTATAACCACTTGTTTTAATTCTTTTAACTCGTCGGTCTTGTCTTTTTGTTTCTGTATACATGAATATCTTTGGTATATTAGTCCTCCAATTGCTGTTCCTACTGCAAGAACGGTTGTAATAATTATTTCTGCTGTTGTTGTTACAAATATTTCTCCTTCCGGTACTGCTGTTGTTGTTGCTGTTGCGATCGTTACTGATGTCACTACTGAGTTAATTATGCTGGTTGCTGTTGAAATGAATGTTGTTGTTATCGTCATTGTTGGTAAAGGTATCACAGATATGCTCATTTTTAATAAAACCCAAACGCTCTTCTTGCTCTACTATGTATTCTTCGGGATTCTTCTATGTCTCCTAAGAATGCTCCTCCGGTTGCTCTCCTGATTCTTCTTCTATAATAACAAAGGTATGCTGTAAATATTGCTATGATAGCAAGTCCTATGAGTACTGCTAATATCACTGTGTTTACAAATTGTATATGCTCTTCAGTTTCAACTGGTGTCGGTTGGTTCCCGATGGTTGTTGTATTACAAAGGGATAACATAAGCAGGGTCTTCAAAAGTATTGGTGGTTCTTGCGGTGGTTCTTCCTTTATATACAGGTGGTGCGGTTTGTATATGGTTTCCAAGATTTACAAGTTCCTGGTGTTGTTCCTCAATTACTCTTCTTAATCTTTTTTCTGTTTTATTAGAATTTCTGAGTCTCCACTGTTGAGCTCCAGCTCCAGTGATTGCTAATACGGTTGTTACTGCTACAGTAATTAAAATATCTTCAATGTTCTTGGTGTTGCTTACTCCTTCTATAGCTTGTGTTACTGTTGCAATGGAACTTTCTAGGGTTGTTGAGATGATGATGCTTTTAATAGTTGATGTGATAAAGTTAGTTGTTTGCGATAAAATAGTGGTAGTGACTACAGGGATTGTTATTGTTGCCATTGAGTGAAATCAATTCACTGAAGTTCTCATGTTCAAAATTCATCCAGTTTTATACATGTTTTTTTACCAATAGTGTCCATTCTTGTCTCCCTTTTGTTGTCATCCTTTTTTAGTATTATTTTGTTATGATATGATTAATCGTTCGTTCATCTATTCTTGCATAATCTTTTTCTTCGTGCTACCCTTAGCTTATACAATGTCATGTGGTTGTACATATCCTTGTTCCGCAGGTTTATCCATTTTCCTATATTCGTCGATTTTTTCCCAATAATGGCTTAATGCATCTGCGATCTCATTCTTTTTTCCTTTTATGTGCTGAATGTCTAAATCCAGTAAACAAACCATATGGTACACGTTCATCGCTGTTCTATCTATTGCCGGTATATTATTATTCTCCTTTAATATATCCACAGCATTTTTATTATCACAAAATACTTTGATCATCCCTTGTGTATATAATTGTAACAAATTAACATTTTCTTTGATCGTTTTGTAAATTCCATACAATTCCTTTCTTAATGTTATCCACTTCTTTTCATTGGGTTTGAACGTTCGTCCATAAAATGCTATCACCCCGTGTTTTTGTACAAGGACTGCTCCTATTCTCCAATCACTTGCGTCTGTGTAGATATTTACTGGTTCATCCCATACAGGGTTTACTATTATTTGTCCACTTCTGACTAATTCTTTCAACGTATCAAATGCTGCTCTTGCTTGTGAATCACTTGCTGGTCTTTTTGCTTTTCCTTTGATTCCTTCTTTTTTATTAAGTGTTCTCTCAATTGTTTCTCTTAATGGTCCTACCAATTCTGCTTTTGATGATATAAATTTACTAATATATGTTAATATTCCTATGAATGTTTTCATCTTGTGACCATAAGGCCATTCCAATATTTCTTTTGCTCTTTTATCTGCCACCTTTCTTTTCCCTTGAGATATCTTTCATTCCAGTACTTCTACTTCTTCTTGCATGAATTCACATTTTGATAGTTTTGCTTTCATTCCATTTTCTCTTAAACAGTTTAATACTTCTTTTGTTTTTTGTAATGATTCTTCTTCTGTATCTGCTCCTATTATAATATCATCTATGTATATTGTCATCCATCCTTCTAATAAAGGTTTATTTAATATTCTTTGCATATTCTTTTGATATATTGCTGGTGCATTTTTTAATCCAAAAAACATTCTTATTGGTTGGTAAGTTCCTAATCCTGTTACTCCAAATGCCATATATTTTCTATATTCTCTAGGTATTACTATATGATAGTATCCTGACAAACAGTCTATAGTTGTAAAATATTTATAATCTCCTATTCTCATCATAATATCTTCTATTCTCGGAAGCACCATTCTAATATCTTTTGTTTGCTTATTTAATTCTCTGTAATCTTGACATACTCTCCAACTTGTTTTTCCTGTTATCTTATCTGCTTTTTTTGGTACTGCTGTACAAGATGTCTGCCATTCACTATTATCAGCTTCTTCTATTAATCCTTCTTTTAATAAGTTTTTTGCTTGCTCCAGTATTTCTTTTTCAGCCTCTCTTGTTGCTGCATATGGTTGTGTATAATATGGATTCCATCCCTTCTCATTTGGTTCTAATTCAAATATCACATTTTTCATTATTCCTACCTCATTCACATGTTGTCCAAATACATCTCTGTTTTCCATTATCAATGTTTTTCACTTTCCTGTTACTCCCAGTGAGTCAATTATATCACTTAATTCTTTATCTGTTCTATTCCTTAGTGGCTCTTTTGCCCATCTTGTATCAATTTTTATTTCTTGCTCTTGCATCTTTAATATATGTTTTCTTATTGAATAAGACCTTTTTTTCTTCATTGTTCCCTTATTCTTTTTTCTTAATAATTTTACATATTCCCTGTTAGTGTCTAGGATTTCTTTGTTGGCTTTATCCTTTCCTATTCTTTTAAGTGTAGCCTATTTTGATATTCTCTCCATTCTTGGTTTATCCTATATTCCTTATCTATTTCACTATTTCTTTCTTCATCATCTACTTGTATTAAGTTAATTCTTTTTCTAACACTTTTGCTTTTTACTATTGCATCTGTTATTGATTTAATTATTTCTTTTTTCACATCTTTTTCTAAATACTCAGTTCCCAATTTTCTTTCTTCAAGTATACTTCCATTTAACAATTCTTCAAATTTTTTACATGTCACCTGCTTATATTTTCTTTATGTCTTTATCTTTTCTGCTTTAATCCTATAAAATGCCACATCATAATCCCCATAATCTTTCCTTATTATACTTCTAATTCTTCTTTTATCAATCTTTATTCCTAACTCATTATACACAATTTCTCTTAAACATTATTTTTGTTTTTCTTTTATCATTCCCTCTTTTTCCTTATAGTTTGTTACCCATGTTTTTGCTTTTTCTTCATACCTAATCCATATTCCTTTATCATTATACACTATTCCTACTATAAACAATACTTTTTTCTTTTTAACTCTAACCTTCTTTTCCTTTTTTGGTACTTCTTTTTCAAAGAATTTCTCAAACTTTCTTTCATCATATACTTCCTTTTTTACTATCTCTTTTGGTTTTTCAAATACTATTTCATCATATTTCCTCTGCTTGATTATTTCTCTAGGTACTTCCTTTTCCACAAATTCAATTTCCTTTTGCTTTTTGGTTGGTAATTCTTTCATAATACTTTCTGCAGCCTCTGCTTCTACATCATCTTTTGAACTTTCAATTATATTTTCCAAATATTTCCCCATCTTATCAGATCCCAGTGTAAAATTCCACAAAGCCTTTTTTATCTTGTTTCTATATTCTGCAAATTTCTTTTTATATCTTCTTTCTTCATAATACTCATTTGCCACTTCATCCTCTGCTAATATTATTTTTCCATCTTCATCCAATTCTTCACTTTCTTCACCATTCCAGGTTTTCTTAAGCCACTGCAATAAACTTATTTTATGTTCCTTTATTTTCTTTATTTCTTCTTCATTACTTTCCTTAGGTCCTTCTAATATCATAGGTATTCCCAATCCTACTATTTTACAAACAGTTTTCCAAGGTGATCTTCCTTTAAGTATACTTCCATGCAAATCTCTATTACATCCTACCATTTGCTCATCTGGTATTCCATTTAAATGTATCAATTTTATCCTTCTAATGTATTGTCCCATATCCTTTAATAATCCATTTATATTATTTCCTGCTGAATGATAATGCTGGGTATCTACACATATTCCCACATTATGTCTCTCCTTACACCACTTGTATATTTCTTTTAAAGTTGTTCCATAGTGTTCTTCCAATGCTGAGTTTTCTAAAAATTATCATTTTTTTATTTCGATTTCTTATTTCATCTAGTCTTTTTACAAATTCCTCTTCAGTTGCTCTTTCTCTTTTCCCACAATGTATTACTATTGCTCTTGCTCCCAACTTTGTTGCTTCGTCTATTTCCTCAAATATATGTTGCAATGATCCTGCTGCTACTGTTAATCTTATAGACATATGTACATAAAAAGGTTTACTGGGTTTATATCCTTCCCCTGTTTTTATCAATTCTGTTCCTTTCTTTTCCCTTAAAAATATCTGCTCTATATCCTGTCCTTTTTCGATTTTTTCTCCTTTATTAACACAAATTCCTATTTCTATTTTTCTAAGCATTTCTTTAATTGCATTGATATGTAAATTTGGCTCTATAGTTATACTATATGTTTTACTCTTATTATATATTTTATTTGTTCCTCTATCTATTATGAATCCATACTTTCCTTGTATAGGATCTCCTAATATCATATCATTTGTTAGGTTTCTTATTACTTTACATTCTATTTCTCCTTTGAGTTTTTTGTCTTTTTTCTTTCCAAGAGTCACTCTAAGATTTTTTATTTTTCCTACTTCTGTTATAGATACCTCTCCTGTAGCTACTGTATATTCTTCATTTGATGGTTCATATTTTAATCCTAATTCTTCAGCTTTTTCTTCTGATATACAATCTATATTTGCTCCTGTATCTACTAGAGCACTTATTGTTTTCTTTTCTCCCCTTCCCAGGTCTACTTCCACTCTTATCATAGGTGAGTTCTTTGTTTGTATTAATGATAATCCTATCGGGTCAATAAAACTAGGATTTGGATATATTGTCAATGTATGTGTTCTCTTTTCTGTTGATTGTATATAAAGTCTATTAGGCATTCTTATTTTTCCTGTTTCCATGTCTAATTTCATTTTGTATTGTTTCATTGTTTCACATCCTATAAGTATATAATGTAGCTCATTTGTATCACCCTCTTCATCTTCATAGTCCCTATTATCTTCTCCTAAAATATATACTTTTCCCAAATTTACAGTTACATCATTTTTAAAAGTTACAATTATAATATCTTCTAATTTTTTAGCATTTCCTATTCTATGGATTCCATTTGCCATCAGGTTTTCTAATTCTTCATCATCCTTATCCAATTCCATTACTCTATTTCCTAATTTTTCTGCTGTTCTTGAGCTTGATATTGCATTACAATCTATTTCTGTTGTAAAATATATTGGTATATCATATATATATACTTTTCCTATAATGGTTCCCATTGTACTTGGTATAGATGGTCCATACAATTTTTTTCTCATACTTGTGCTTGAATTACTCACATCACTTTCGTTATCATTATCTCCC